TGAATTAAACTTTCTAATGTCTTTATATTATTAAAACACTTTTAAATAAAGTAATAATTCACTGCTAATGATTTTTTTACGTAAAAGTATTAATGTAATTTTCTTTTGTCTTTAAAAAAAAAGTTATCAATTAAAGTTAATATACTTGAAATATAACAAATTTTTTTTGCAAGAATGCAAGTTGAAAAAAAATATATAAATATAATTCTATTTTTATAACTTTTATGATTTATTTTCTTTAGTCTTTAAATAAAAAATAATAAAATAAATTATTAACAAATTAAATCGAATTATCAATTAAAGAAATAGTTTTGTTCATTATTTTTCTTTTTTATCTTCGCTTTTCCTTATTTGCTTTCTGATATTGGATTTCTGACAAAAGAAAAGATTTAATTATATTTTTTTTGATTATATTACTACGAAAAATTGTAAAGTTTTTTTTATTGTTATCTTTTAAATATGCATATTTATTAAAAAATCGTTGGAAGTTGTTATTTTGTTTAAAAGGGTTTTGCTATGTCTATATAATAAAGATAAACATGTTTTTTTGTTTGTAAGTCATTTTATCATTTTTGTGAATTACGTCTCCTTGCCCCCCCCCCCCCAAAAAAAAAGCGTCATTAAAAAAAGTTTCCTTATTAAGTTTAATTGTTTTTTTAAGAAATACCACCAATGCGCGATGAAGTTTTTTAAAACAAAATATAAAAGCAAAAATAAAAACAAAAGTGTTTATTTACATTTTTTTGTCCATTAGTACTATTTATTATTATTATTTTTTTACTATTTAGATAATTTTATATGGTGCAATAACAAAGAAGACGAGACACAACTAGTTTTATATTATAAAAACATAAGTAAATATTAAAATTTATTTATTTCAAACGTAATTATCTTATTATTTATTTTAGTTAAGTTTTGTTTTTATTTTGTTTTTATTTTGTTATACTTTTATTTTAGTTATTTATTACTGAGCTATTTTTATTTTAATTTTCATTACTTTTTTTCTTTTTTTTAAAATAAATTTATTTTTTTAGTTTCTTTATAACTAAGTTGAGTTTTCAGCGCTTTATTAAAATGTTAAAACTGTGGACAAATTGTCAAAACAAAATATTATTTGCGTGGTCATATAAAGCCGTGAAATCACGCACCTTCCTGACCAAGCTTATATATATATATATATATATATATATATATATATATATGCACTGTTATTTCACCCCAAAACATGATCAGTAGCCCCAGAATCTCAAACTCGGAAAATCAGAGAGCCACTTGAAATAAGCAAGACTAGGGTTCGACAGGAGTTGAGAAATGGTGATGTGGTTCTCAATCTGGATGACGGTGACAACATGACAAATAAAACCTAGGAACCATTTTTTAATAAAATCTGCTGATGCCAGTTACTTGAAAAGTTTTTTGTATTATATTTTGGCTTTTTAGTGTAATGTTAATTCACCTCCCCAAGGCTGCTGCGCAGAGAAACAAGTTAAGAACGGTACTACCAAGAAGTTGGTAGGGATCAAACTCAGAACTTTTTGCTTATGAAGTCAGCGCTCTACCACTTCACCACTACTGCATAAAAGTACTGTCAATGTTATAAAGCAAATTAATGGCACTTGCAAAAAAGAGGTCAAAGTGTATTCAGTGTCTGTGTATTATACTAAATTTTTTTATATTAACTAAAAGTTTAAACTTTTAATTACTAAGCACAGTAGACTAGTGGTACAACACTTGGTTCACCATCAAAAAGTTGTAAAGAAATAAATCTTTGAAGTATCGCACGTAAGGTGTTTCTCTGTGCGGTCTTGCTTAATAAGGTTTATGCATCAGAGTACACAGAGAGGAGTTACAAATAGAATTGAAAAAAAAAGGTAGGCTCATTGATTGCAGTGTAGTCTCAAAAGGTCACTAGGGGCCTGGGAAACTTAGGGCAGTAAACTTTAGCAAAAAAAAAATTATGTAAGAGTTGAATTAGTTTATTCAGAAATGTTTTTTCTGTTGGAGGGTAATTTTTTAAAACCTTTTCATAATATTAATTTTTAGAAATTTTTTTGAGTATTGCTTTAAAGCCAAAAATTTATTGACTTTGAAGAAATCAACAGACAAAGTCGCATAAAACTAACTTTAAAAAATTTTTATAAAAAAAATTTTAATATGTTATTAAATTCAAAGTTAATTTTATGCAGCTTTGTCAGCATGTCAGTTACCTTTATCATTTGTCATTATTTAGTATGTTGTACTGTGTTATTTGTTATGGTCTCAAAATTACGTTAATTCAGACCGTAAAGAAAACTTCTAAACAATATTTTTTCTCACTCTTTATATTATTTTTATATCACCTTTTATCAATGATATATTATATAACTAGATGTCTAACTTCGATCCGAAAAGTGAAGCCACTTTTTGCTCTTTTTACAAATGTTGGATTAAATTTGTAAACAAATAATTTTAACTTTTCTTTTCTTAAATGAAGTAAATATAAGTAAATATATATTTTCTTTTCTTAAATGAAGTAATATATTTTAAATTTAAATACTATTTACGTAAAAGTATTAGGCGGAAATTATAATACTTGTAATAATAATAATTAATGATTCCTTAATTTATTTTCGATTAAAAAGGAATAAAGTTTTGAATAGAAAAGTAAAACGACAGACCCTTTTGAAGCATTTTTATGAATTAAAATACTTTTTAATAAACATAGGCTCGTAAACTTTTATAAGTATTTTATAATTATTAAAAGTTGTTTTTGAACTATCTTTAATTTATTGGGAATTTTTGACTTGCATTTTTAACTTTTATTACACACTTCAGCTTCAGCTTTTGTCCTTTTTATAAATGGCTGACTATTGTTATAAACAAAAAAAGCAGCTTCATTTTTTTCCATTAAAATCCTGCAAGCTAGATATCTAGTTATATAATATATAACTGCGTTTTATATCGTTGTAATATCACCCAAAAAAAAATTATTTACCACCATTTTTGAAAAATATTATTTAGTCTTATTAGAGTATTTATTTAGTCATATTAAAGTACTTTTTATTATTTACAATTTTTTTTATTATTTCTATAATATAATTTTTTTATTTTTTTATTTCATATTATTATTAAGGAATTTTGAAGCTATATTATCTCGCATTCCTAATTCAGCTTTTTTATTACACATACACAATTTTTATTTTTTATTATAATCCAAAGAGTTTTTTATATGCTTCACTATATGTTTTATATTTTTGCAGGTAACATTTTTTATGATTTTTGTGCAGTTTGAATTAAATATAATATGATAGTTTTCACTATCATATTACATTCAATTTTTGTGACTTTAGGTTGTTCATTTTCTTATACTTTTATTTATTGTGTTTTATTTTAGCACTTTTATTTGTAACTTTTTCAATTTCTTCCAGGTTAATGGTAAGTGATTTGATTTAGTTATTTTTATTTATATTATATAGTGATCTACACTTTCAATATCAATTCATCAAAAAAATATTGGTGATTTACAAA